CTACTATATATATATATATATATATATATATATATATATATATATTTGTAAGTTCTTCACATGCAAGTTCTTAAATCTTAGAAAAAATCACTGGATAGGATGTCAAAAGAAAAATGTTTTTCACCAAGATTTACATAAGAAAACGAACTTCTTTCGGAATCATTGCATGTTTCCCGCCAGTAATTTCGCCTACCCAACCCATTTCCACCTGTAAATTCTTATCTTTCGCTTCGTCTCGCACCATTAAAATTATTCGTGCCGCTTCTGAAATAAAGAAAAAAAAGATTAATTCACCAGTTTTTAAGAACATTCGCAAGATGGATGGACCTAAACTTGCTGTAGTGAATTCAGTAAAAGTTTTACATACCATTAACTAGCTGCTGCATCGGAATATCTTCAAATTTCAACTTTTCAATTTCTGTTTTAGCTGCCTGCCGATGCTTACCAATTGCCCATGCCTTGTACTCATAACATAGACCTGAAGGCTCCAACAAGAATAACTGTGAACCATTCTGAAAAATTCAATTTTCCACTATTTTTATATCCATAAAATTTGGGGCTAATTGCCAGCAGTTCGCTTTAAAGGAAAACCAATGTCGTTCTTAGCAATTTTCACACCAACGCGTTGCGTTAAACGGAAAATGAGAAGAAATACCGTCATTTTTTAATTTAAAAAAATGCAAAGACTTGCCTTTTCGTCCCAAGCAGTCAGGAATATTGAAGCCCCAAAAGGTCTACTGATACCAAGTGTATATACATGAACATATTCGGCTAACTGGAAATCCACTTAGATTACATGGAAACAAAATTAATGCTTTATTTTAAGAATATTGTTGAGCATAAGCTTGTTGAAGACAACAAAATAAGGTTAGAATTTTCGGCTTTTTGTTTTAGGTTTTCAACCCAGTTGCAAAGTAAATTTTCAACCCTGCGAAGGGAAATAACAAATTCATATATTTTTAAATAGAAAGTCTTAAACACGTCGAATGTTCAACGGATAAGTCATTTACATACTACGAATACCTTGAAAAGGAAGAGTGCAAATAATAATGGACTGAATAATATTACATAATTTGGAATGTAAATGTCTGCAGAGACGTTTACTGAACAGCTCGGTTTAAACTATTTATGTTTGTAAACACGTCCAAATAATGCTACAAGTTGAAAAACAAAAAGAACCAACCTGATTTGCCAGCTTTTTTATTGGAATCGGTGCTCGATACTCTTTCAAATAATTGAGTGCTTCACTTACTGCATAATCTAGAAGTGCCCTGCAATCTGGATATATACCTGCCATCGCACAACCAATGTATTCGCCTGCATTTGCCATTCTTGGGTTCGCATTCTAAAAAAAAACCACACTTACCTACACATAACCATTAAAAAGTTTTATTTTCTAGTGGTGGACATCGTACTTTCTTGTGCTATAATGATGGAAATGATAATTTTATACTTACAGCAGATTGTACAACATCATATCTGGAACTATCACATCAGTATAAATTTAGGTTTAATCAGATAAAGTTTTCCTGCACTGCTAATAAATTGCTGTCGAAGTTATTAAGAGAAACTGCAGAATAATTCGAGTTCCCGGAGAATCAGAAAGAAAACAAACAAGAGGAAAACAAAGAAAAATCCGGAAACATTCATACTTCGACATATAATTTCGAGGTGATTAGCTTATCAGCTGCCGTAACAACACCATCTTTTCCTCGTATAGCAATCATTGTACCACCATTATCAACCGCTTTTTGGGCATATTCAACTGAAAAGTCGATTGGGAACGAGTAAAATTAACTAAAAAAAACGCTAAATTTCCAATGGATATTCTAGACTTCGGATTATAAAACTTCAGTACTAACGCATTCCCACTAAACGATCCCTAAATCTAGGCCAAAGATAAATGCCAATATGATAATCCAATTCAATCTTTCTTGAAGAAGTGGGGTCATGAGAAGATTATTGCTCCAATGATTTACTAAAACTATTACAAATAAAATTACTTCACTACGATAAAATGATTGTCATCGGGGAAATTAACTGGTTATAATAAAATAGCTACGATTACCAAAAAGATTTATTTTTATAATTATCTATTATTAGAGCTTTCCTTTATATTGTTAGAGCTTTTCCTATTGTTACCTATTATTAGAAATTTTTTCGACATGATAATTAATTTGACACTATAATATTAGAAACGAAATAAAAACAAATGAAAAGTGGTATACCCTGGAAAATACGTCCATCCGGTGAGAAAGTTGCAGCAGCGAGATCATACCCAGTGCCAATCGAGCTCATCTAAAAGTATATACTCTATGCTGAAAACATTACCATTTATCACTCCTATCACTTACATAACACTACCATCTATCACTCTTATCACTTACATAATTTATCACTCTTATTACTTACACTTACTAACGTAACATGCCATCATTCACGCGTACGCCGAATCCCACCGCCAGGCAGAATAGCTTCTCAGGGCTTCATTATCAAAATTTAACTCCTCTCACTATGCAACATCTTACGTAGCTCCTTGATGCTCGCATAACTTAGATACTAATTTACTTAATACTTATTCATCTATTCGTTTATTTATTTACTTTTCTACATATGTTTACTTTTTACTTGAATGTTTTTTTTTCACATATATTACTTTATTATATTTACTTATCATAGATATTTAACTTACCATTTATATTAACCTTTTCATTCCTTTTCCTATGTCTTCTGACTTAATTATTCATCTATTTGTATGTTAGCATGTTTTCATGCTTATCTTCTGTCGATTAGGTATATCAGAGGGTTTTTTCTTTTGAAAGCAAGAGGAAAAATTTCGTGAAATTTTTTACTACCACAATTTGAACTATTTTTTCAATTTGAATAAATTTCCGTTTAAATAAATCTGAAAACTAAAATTTAATCGACTGAGGATTCCTAAAATAAACTCGAGGGAAACTGAAATTTGACTTGAAGATTTTAAAATTTCATTAGATTTCAGGGCTATTCATGTAAAGGAAAGCATAAAAATCAGCAGCAAAATGCAGAACCTGTGAAAATGCAAAACCCCGAAGCTTAAAATGGGTGATCTTGTACGTGATGCGTTGCGTACCGTAAGCATTTATTCTACAGTATTTATTCTGTCACTGGTTGGACGGTTTTTATTTCATATTCTCATATTTATTTCATATTTTTATTTCATAGAGAAATAAGGTTTACAAAAATTACTATCACATATATTGGAATCGTTATTCGTATCATATTGCAGTTTCTTCCAAAGTTGCTGATATATTTTATCAGCAGTATATTGATTAGCGCGTAATAAATGGCAAGCACTGCAAATACAGTACTACTGATACTGTTATCATGTTAAATAATCATTATTGCTTGTTTTAACATGCAGGATAAGTATTACAGACGGGTATCGATGAGGAATTGGAAGAACTAGTCGCGAATGCCATAGTTCAAAGTTGGAGTGAAAATCGCTCAAAAAGTGTAATCAGTAAGCCATCAACCAAACGGAAATTAAAGAACAAAACTAATGTTAGTGATATCAATGCCCGAAAAATCAAAACAATATGTGGTGTAAAACCTTTTCAAGAGTTTCTGGTTATTCAGTGTTTTTATTTTGCTAAATTTTATGAATATTTTACTTGGTTTTCATTCCTCATGATTTCAGGAACCAAACTTAACCAAAGTTCGAATTATAGCCGAACACTTATGGAGGCGCTTGGAGCAAATATACGACACCAAACTACAAATTTGGAAACGGAATGAGGAAAAAATGATAGATGAAATGATAACTAGGCTTCGACATGAATATAAAGAAAATCTTTTATTAAAACAGAAACAAGTTTGTATATTTTGTGATTTTAAGTCATTTCAGGTTCTCAAATCAATACCTTATATGTTTTAAACAAATTTAAATATGAATTCAACAAAGAATAATGTGGTTTAAGGAGTAAAGCTGCATTTCCATAGGCTTTCATGGTTGTTCTTTTTCTATCCTTCGTTGTGTCTAAACACACACGAATTGAAGGATATTTAATATTCATTGTGATGAGTAGAATAATTTAAAGACGATATTGTTTGAAAAAGAAAAAATGAAATCCCTTGAGTCAACTAAATAATCTTTACGCTAAATAATAATAAATACTGTTTGAAATAATAAATTTTTAGCTGGAAGAATTAGCGGAGCGTAAGAACGATGAATACAGGAATAAGGAAGATTGCCTACGGGAGGATATTCGAGTGACTTTTGAGGTATTCAACTTTTGTTTTTACTTTGCAGTTAAACATCTATAAATGCTTCACCACTTTCAGTAAGCTTATAGTATTGCTGGTTTTCAGAACAGAAAACTAGAATGTGAAAAAGCTTGGCGAGAGATCGAAATGGTGAAGAAAGAGTTACGATTTCAGAAGGAGTTGTTGGATAATGCTCGAGCGAACTTCCAGTCGTAAGTTGATAGTCATCCTTGACGCTAACCTAATAGCTAAGATATACAGTTTACTGTATATTTACTTAAATGTTCGTTCAAAAACTGCCTTTTGTGGAGAAATTAATAAATATTTTGCGTAATTTGAGAGAATCAGAAGTAATTATTGCCAAGAAGTGAAGAAAAAATGTTTGACTTGATATAATTTAGGAAAAAAGACAACGAACTGTATCTTATAGAGCAAGAAAGATGTTCACTGGAGCAGATCAGGGATGGTCTGAGGATTCATGAAAGGAGTCTTGATCAAAGATTGCAAGAAGCGATTAGAAAAGCACGCGAAAAGGACAAAACTCAACTAACGCAAATGGTATCCTTATTTCATTTCTGACGATTCTTATCATCAAATTAATTTTGAATAACTTTGTTATTGGTAAGGAATTTAGATTTCCGAATGGAATAAAAAAGAAGCGACACTATCGAAGAAATATGAAATGGTTTGGAATAAAATATGTGAAATTTCGAGTGAACAGCAATTTTCTGCCAAGGAAGCAACACGTTTAAAAAAACTACAGGTATATCTTTTATTTGAATATATTATTAACATTTAATAATGGTATAGTTTTGAAATATTATATCTCGTTATTTATTCGTGATATATTTTATGGTACAAATTCTTTTTATTTCTTTTTAGCACTGACGAAGACATTTAGTGAAGGGTCAGAACCCAAAAGGAGAACTCGAGAACTTGGTATTTCAGTTTTTCGAATGCAAAACATGTGATTTCTGATTATTCCCCCAAAAAAATAAGAAAAAATGATTTTTTCCAGGAAAAAGTGATCCAACAACAGAAGAAGCTCACAGAAACTAAACAAGCTTTAAATTGTGCTTTAAATAAACAACGGAAGACTAATGAAGATTTGGAGCGCGTTAAAAAAGAGAAAGAGAAGTTATCCGAAACGGTTCTTTAATTTATCCATTCATTCGTGTACTGAATTCTCCATATGCAGCCGAAAGTTGTAAGGCATTCTAGAACGAGAAATCACTCTAGAGTAAATTTAAATTTGTCAAAATATTGGTGTTCCTTAAGGGATTTTAACTTATTTTCTAGGGCCATAGAATAGTTTCAATACTTTTTCAAACTGTTCGCCAATAAAAGTTCAGCAAGCCAAACTCGATTTAAACCCCGATTATAAGAGTAAAAACATTAAAAACATTTTTTGAGATGCGTCCGATAATTGTTTTAGGTCAGTTTCCCTTACAAATAAGTAAATGTCTTTTTTGCGCGTTTCATGTATCATTTGGTTCAAGTTTAAGAATCAGAAGTTGATGGAAAGATTGGAAAAACGAGATGCAACAATTAACAGTTTAAAGAAACAATTAAAATTGATAGAAGAATCGGCTGCCTTACGTATCAGTGAGTTGAAATTCCAGCACAAGTTAACCGTAAGTAAATTTTTTACAAATTTGGGCCCTGTACTTTTCTAATGCCGACAGGGAGAAAGTTAAATAAATAGAAACGATCCACTTATCTGCATTGCATGTTTATACTTCAATTATGGTTTGAAACAAGTAATTAGACATGACTAGCTGATGCCACATGCAAGTTGAAAAATGGATCGGCTAGATTCAGGAAGTATAGAGAACGATCGAATCTTTCCAGGTAAACAAACTGCAAGCGCTCAGTAGAGAACTACACAGATTCCATTTTAGTGCATTCGAGAAATTTGATCGACCCTATCCTCATCCTACCGCGGCAGTAGCAGCAAGGTTTTAAAATAATCGATTTTCTAAATTAATCGTATTTCCAATTAATCATTGCATCAATTTTCATCGTTCTAGGATGACAACGATCGACTCTGCTTCTTCATCAACTCTTACGGAGTCGTCGTTGGAGCAGCATTTCCGTGATAGAATGAAAGGTTTCGATTTCACGAAGCAAGTAAGATTATCTCCAAGTCAAAAACAATTTAAAATCAGTTTAAAGTCTTGAATAGTAGATAGGGACTAGAACGTAACTCCTCCGTTTTTTCTTGTAAAATTTTAGGAGCTGGACTTAACGTTGAACAAACTGCGCGTAAGAAGTCATTTTCGGCCTCTGGATTACATTCATTCTATTTCTTTATCACATGCTGAAATCAGTGAGCTTGAAAAACCACTATCTAGAAATTCCTCAAGCAAGGAGGTCAAGGTATTTCTTTCTTCTTTTAAAATTTCATAATTTATTCCATATTTTTTGTTCTACATTCTATACAATTTGCACATTTTTTAAAAAACTGTATCTATTAAATTTATCCGTTATAGCGGCTTCAAAGGGATCCTTCGATCATCGAGACAAATCTCGCCCACGGAAAAATGGTGGAGATGGAAGAAAGTGCTGCTCATCCAGATCCAAAAAATGTTGAAAAGGTCGCAAAATTCTTATTAACTCTTAGTGGACTTTCCATTGCTTGTCTCATTATCTTTCCCAATTACTTCCTCCAATTCCTTATTCAGAATACGGAATTGGAGGTGACAAATAATTCAGCGGAAATACATACAGTTGACCCACTAATGGTTCGGTATATGGAAATGGTTCAAGATCAGAAGGAAAAAGTAGAGCCGCTTCTCGAAGAGACGCCAAAGAATGAAGATGTAATAATTTAAAATTAAAAAAAAATTCCTAAGAATCAAAACTTATAAAACCTCCTTCATCTTTTAACAAAGAAGCTGCAAATGAAATATTTTGGCTTAATATGACATCGGATTATGGTAGCTGCAACAGATGGGTAAAGTATGCAAATTGAAGAGGATAGATAGTTAACAATGATTTTTCCAGAACGAACTACCGGAAGAATCATTTGTTATTGAAGCAGGTGAAAGACCAGATACACCCAGCACATCCAGTGATTTCGGCTGGTAAATGGAATTATTATTTTTCATTCAAAAGTGATGTATACGTACCACCTCTCTGTGATCTCTCAACTGCTTTTTTTCTTGTTTTCGTTAGTAATCTTAATATTTGTAAAACACATCCCTCGAAGTTATATTTTCGTTAAAAAATTTTAAAATTTGAGTGAATGCGTCTTTTAACAATATTCTCCTGGCAATGGTGATATATGAAATCATTAAGATAATCAAAATTTAATGGGTCGGAACTTTTAAAACTTGATAGAAACTAAATTTTTCCAGACTTTCTTTATTTTCTCCTACAAAAAATAATTTCCTAATATAGGGAAGCTTGCTCATCTTAAAAGCAAAACTTATTTATTGCATTTGGTTAATTGCGATGTCATTTGCCAATGTACAGGATTTCCGAAACATAAAGAGAAACCTAAGTCTGAAATTTATAAACAAATCTTGAAAGAAAGAAAACAAAGCTTATTTATTGCAGTTGGTTAATTGCGATATCATTTGCCAATATACAGGATTTCCGAAACATAAAGAGAAACCTAAGTTTGAAATTTATAAACAAATGTTGAAAGAAAGAAAACAAAGCTGGGAGGACATATTATCCTACTATCTTCAAAACTACAAATGAACGTTACATGTCACCAGGGTCTCGATGGAGGTCCCAGATCCAAAAGTGCAGTGCGTTGGGTAAATGATGGCGGCTCGAATTTATGCTCTGGTTGGATTGGTCTGCCCGTTTTGAATAAGTCCGAATGCTTCTCTCGTAGCTCCTGAAAATATGGAAAAGTGCGAGGGCGAAGATCCGATCTCCTTAAGAAATCAGACAAGTATTGCGGAAAGCACTCAGGTAGATTCGTTCTGGTGAAGTTAGGGAAGTAAGTAATTGGTGCAGAATGAGAGTGATTACACATAAGAATCCGATGCTTTGTGAATCATCTACAGTTGTTGTAAGCAATATACCTGATTATCCCAGAAACGTTCGCGAGGATAGCTTCGTTCATTTCCTCGCAGTGTTTCCCAGCCCTGAAATAATTCCGCTCAAAAAAAAAAAAGAATCAGATGAAGGAAATGTTTATTTGGTGTATGGGATTTGTCTTTTTCGAAAATCAAAGTAAAACTTTAAAAAAAGGTAAAACTTACCCTAACTTCATACTTCCAATAATAATAGCTAGCTTCGATGAGAATCCACGCCATAAAGAGTTTTGGTACTACGGCTCGTACCAGTGAACCATAAAATATACCCTAAAAGAATTTTTCATTTCAAAATATCCATAGAAAATGTTAGATTAGTTGGTTTCGCAGAGAATGTTTCACAGAAAATTGTCATTCAATAGAGGTAGGCAATATATTCGTAAGAATCGGGGTACTGCCGTGGTAAAACTGGGATAAACTTAAGGAGGGAAAGATGAGTTTACAAAAAAATTAAAATCTATGGATTCGTCATGCAGCTGCGTTTCAATTATAAAGGATCCATCGACTACAGTAGATACATATTAGATCTAATTAGGATTGACCGGGGAATGTAAGCGGGTTGAAATAGTAAAATGTATCAAAATCAAAGAAAAACAATGCTCTGAAACTTGCAAATGTTGGCTTTAAGAAATGTTTATAAAGCTTATCCATCGGTGTACGGTACAACATGCGGATAGGATTAAGCTGTCTATGTACAGCATCAACATGGATTGGTTCGTCCGGATGAAGCTGTTGATCTAGAACCCATTTCCTGAAGTTCAAATTTAATTCATCACATCCTAATATTTCAAGGAACAATTTAACAGCTGAGTTAAAAAATGAATGAAACTGAAACTGCTTAAATTATATTAGAAAGCAAAAGACAGAGTGGAATGCTTTTTCGTGCACTTCAATCATCAAAACAACTTATTCATCCTTCCAGCACATTGTTTCATTATGATGGCTTGCTAAGTTATTTTTTCTTTTTATAAGATTGCATCATGATTTCAATTTGTTTTCCCATAACTTCCTCAATTATATTTCTAATTTCAAAATGATATGTTCCAAATAAAATCAACTAACGAGTGGAACGAATCTACATAGCTTACTTTCGCCATTCTCTTTCAGCAGGAGTAAGACCTGCTGCTCGCGCCCGTTCGTCAGCCATATGCAGTTCTAAACTCATTGGTTCATGTTTCAAATGTGGCACTTTGTCACTCTGAAATTACAACGAAAAATCCACATGAGGGCAGGAACGTGCTATCTTTGCTTCGTTTTATGAAAAGAAATAAAATATATTAAGCCAAATTAAAAACTCGATATAAATGAATTCTATAGTTTCGGCTAACACATAACCATTGTTACATGAAGATCACATGAAGTCGTACAAATGATGGTCGTTCATGCAATCAAAATATAACATACACACAATAAAAATGCAAAAGTCTTTAAAATGATACCTTCTGAATAATCGATGGTGGTGGTAAGCCTGATCGCGTATAGGGTGAATCACCCTTCTGACGAGTATATGGTTCAATCTCGTCATCGCTAACTGCTCTCGGTTTATGGTACTGATTACCCATTTTGTAATCAAACTGACGTGATCTGAAATTTCAGAAGAATGAAAACGATGCATAAAATATATTTCTTGGGAGGAGGAAGTTAAGCGAGCTAGGACGAAAGATATTTCGATATAAATCAAATAACAATCAAAAATCCTTTGATATCCGGAAAGAGGCAAATTTTATGAACCCAAAATGAACATAGAGATGCGGACATCAAGACATATGGAATCGGAGAAGAAAAGACCCAGAGGACTCGTGAAATCGAGAATTTATGTATTATGAAGGATGATTCACAAGATAATGAAGAATAGGAGGGGGAATCTGCTTAACAAACTCCTAAATGAAGGATGATTCACAAGATGATGAAGAATAGGAGGGGGAATCCGCTTAACAAACTCCTAATCTAAGTTAATTCATCCTATTTGCAGAAAGAAAAAGAAACATGAGATTAGAAAACAGTGAAGTTGTTAGTATTGGAAACATATGGGTTCAAAGAAAACTGATTAAATTGTGCGAATCTAAATGAAGCCTTAATCTGTCGTCGTAATTAGAATCAAAAAAAAACTCGCAAATTAGTCAAAAACATTTGCAACCAACGCTTGGGACACACTTTTTCAGTGCGCCCACATTGTTAGTTGCCATTCCTGCCTTTTCGCCGTTCCAGACTCGGGCGCATCTTCCGCACTTCCGCGGTCTCCACTGGCATGTTAGTGGTAGAGGGCATGGAGATCAGAATGCATCGATTTGGAAATTTTCAATTATCTCATCATATTGATCTGAATTTAAGTTAATCTTACATTTGAGTAAGCACGAAAGATCTGATGCCATTTATACCGTGTGTTTGTAAAGGTGATCATCAAATTTGGGGATAAATTGAATGGAGGAAGTCTCAAGAGTAAAAGTGATGAAGTTTGAGCAATCTGTAGCAATAAAGGTAGACTTAATTTACAATAACTTTATTTTTCCGGATACTTTCGGTTAGTTCTGAAAGATTATCTGTAATAGGTTGATGCATATCGCTCTCTTGCTTTTGTAGTAGAATTACGATTATTGGATCCCTGAATTTCAAGATATTCCTGTATTTGGTGCTTCATAGCCGACGTGTTTGATTATATGCCGATCATCGGGATCAAGAAGTCGGTCATCGATCGATACATGGGCAGAGTATATAGTAAATGCTGAAATTTTTTTATGTCCTTTAAATTTTGTTATATCCCTAATTTTGATACGGTTGTCATTATTTTAAAAACCAAAACTTTAGGCGGTTAGAAAAAATTCTATTCTTGGAAGGTGGACCATTCCGAATTTATTTATTTGCAACATAATGCTATCTCACATTTTTTAGCTCAAAAAGAGTTCGAGGCTTTGTTATTCGATTATGGCTTAGAGCTCGATGAAGTGGTTCGTTTTTAAGGCCTGTTTTTTTTTGATGCAAATGATATTAAGTATTTGTTACCTTTGGATTTAGATAGCATGGGTGAAATATTTGATATTTTTTGGTTCAGATTGCATAAAAAGTTCGTTATCTATTGTTTTTAGATGACGTGAGGCATCTTGCTTCGGGTATAAGTGGCATAAAGCTTCACTTTTCTATTTAACTGGCGGAAATTATTTTAATTTTTACCATAGGTGAAATAGGTTGTTTATTCCAACTTTCGTTAGATTTTAAGCATGTTTTAACTAACCTGTTTATATTTTAAGATTGCTATTGTGAATCATTTCTGAGTGATGAAGTATTATGACACCGCGTCACTGGTGAAAAATATGTAGTAGTGGACCTATGAGCACTTTATTATCCTTGTGTATACCATGTAATTACCTGAGTGGTCTGATTTTTGAAGACAAGCGAGAAAGCAGCAGCACAAAAAGAACAAGGTTTGATAACCGACAAGGATGTGAATAAATTATGTGACGAGGAAATATATAAAATAGAATTGCCAGCAAATCGTTATGATTTGCTCTGTATTGAAGGTCTTTCGCGTGCCTTGCGGATATTCAGAAATGAGTGAGTTAAAATATTGCTATTAATTCTCAAGAATCGTTATGTTTAGGTGAATTTTAATATGGTATAGTGAAACAAAGTCAAACTAAACTACCTATTCCTACAAATGTCTTGTTCCGTTCAAACGGGAGTTTTTGTTATTTCAGGATGCAGCCACCAACTTATCAGCGGTGGAGGTCGTCTCATCCTCGACATCAAATAATTATTAAGCCTGAAGTTCTGTCGATACGACCATTCGTCGTAGGAGCCGTTTTGGTCGGTGTCAAATTAGATGCTGATTCTTATGCTTCACTGATTGATTTGCAAGATAAATTACATCAGAATTTATGCCGAAAGAGAACTTTAGTAGCAATTGGTACTCATGACTTGGATACAGTTCAAGGTTTTATTTTTTCATTTTTTGTTTTGAATCGTTTCAATTTATTTTCGGACTTTGTAACATCATCTTTTTTCTCTGAATAGGACTCTTCCGTAAGGTATTCTGTTTCAGGTCCTTTTTATTACGGAGCAGAGAAACCAGCTGAGTTGAGGTTCAGACCATTGAATCAAACAACGGAGTATACGGCAGAGGAAATGATGGTTTTATATTCGGTGAAAATTTCTTCATATGACAAATTAGGTCCTAAAAAATTTTTAAATTTCATTTTGACTACCATTCTTCCGGCATGCTCATATTTTATGAGAGTGTCAATTCGAACATATTTGCGAAATTTTGGAGGAAGGAAGTCTGTGCGAAAGTAATTCATAAATTAAGTGTTTATTACTCATAATTGTTTTTGCAGGGGGATAGCCATTTGAAACCATATCTTCCGATTATTATTGATAAGGAGCGATATCCGGTAATTAGAGATAAAAATGGGATTGTATTGTCTATGCCTCCCATTATCAATGGTCATTATTCATATTCTTCCAGTTAAAGTTTTTGAAACTAATTTAAACTTTAAATTAGTTGTTTTTCAGTCGTTTCTGTCATTTATGGTTCCAATTTTTCTTTTTTTTGCATTTCAGGAGAACATTCGAAAATTCAGCTTAGTACTCGCAATATATTAGTCGAAGTAACAGCCACAGATCTGGAGAAAGCTAAAATAGTGCTTAATACAATTGTTTCAATGTTCAGCCAATATACATCAGATGGGACTGAAGATGACACTTCGTCCCTGTTAGTCTTTATTGCCGTTACTAATTTCGAAGTTAAAATTTTTAACTTCCATTATTATTGTAATAGGTCCAGTTGATGACATGGGAACAAAAATTATATGCAAAAATGTACATTTTGTTAGTTATTTGCACTGGGATTTTAGAAATCTTTTCAGTGTTGAGCCAGTGGAAGTTATTTCAGTCGATGGTACCAAGCACGAATATCCGGTATGTTCATTTCAAAAATTTATGTTTGATAAATGGATAGGCTGTTCTAGATGAATATCTGTAGTTTTTATCCTATTGTTAATGTTTCCTTCGGTTCGATTGATACAGACAAATATTTATGATAAAGACTTTGTTGACTGACGGAGAATTCATTCTTCGTAAACCTTACAAGGCAATCGCCGGGATAATATCCTATAGATTCAATAATTAGTTAGGTTGTTCTTATTGTTGTTCTCGTGGAGAAAATTTCGTGAAAATTTGGTTAAGGTTGTAGTTTAGCACAAAAGAGAAATAGTTTTAGTGGAGTATAAATTGGTAATACTGTTGAACCGAATCGAAACACACTGTTAACCGTATGAGTCAAATGAACGGAATCACAAGTGAGAATAGTTTACAATATTATGAAGATCGCATGTGAGCTTGTTTTTCCGATCAAAAGATGAGTGCTGGATAAATGATTCATCACTAGGCATTGAAACATTTATTTTCTTTATTATTACTTTTTATGTGCAATGAATCATTTCATCTAACATATCCAAAATTAAGGGGCTTCCTTTATTGATTATATTAGTTATTCAAAGATATTTCTACAATACAAAGAAAAGACATTTCGATCATTTCAATATATTTCTATATTATAGAAATATTTCGGGTTTCTTGACAATCCTATACACTTTAAAAGTGTTATTATTGATGGAACTTTTTTTTCTCTTATATAGAAGTACGAGTTTCTGTTTGCGGAATCAGTCTTTTGCTTTGGTCACGCATTCGTATTTCGTGTTTTGAAAAAAAAGTCAATCAGTAATTTCAAACTTTATGCCACCATAAAGTTTTCATTTGAAATTTGAAATTAGAATTGTTTTACCTATTATTCGTACATTTCGGAATCAAAAAAGAAATTCTAATTGCAATTTCTCGTCTGGTTTTGTAATATTTTTCGCTCATCGCATGGGCGAAATGAGATATAATTGTGAATCACTGTGCGAATGGTTTGCACGGGGTAATATCAGATGATGTTGTTCCACTGCAAGAAGGCTTCGTGAACGATATGCTGCTCTCTGAAAACACATTACTTTCGTAACATCGTAGAAGCAGGGAAGGAGATTATATGATTATCTTGGGAAAAAGGAAAAACAGTCGCTTTAATTCACCCTGATTGTCCCAGCGCTTTGTTTAGTAACATTGCTCTAAGACTGGTAAATTATTCATTATAATATCGTTCTAATGTCCGGATAGTTAACAACTGGTAATGTATTTTTACTCTGGGATTGATAAGCCGCACCAGTGCGGAATCCCCTGCATCCATGATGCGACCATTAAGGATCAACTACAAACTAGAAATAACTAAAAATATGTGGGTCTTCAATCTTATATAATTTGTGCTATAAAATGGTTTTCCATTTTATATATTTTTAGTCTCGAATACTATGTATTATATATTATATACAAATATGTTGCTCTCACTTGTGTAAGATATTATAAAATCGTCAATTCTTTTTGCTTCAGGATCTCAGTGATAGGTCGATGGTAGTAAGCGTTAAAAGCATCAACAGAAGAATTGGACTGAACTTAGAAGCTGCGGAAATGTGCTCTCTTCTGAATAAAATGTCACTTAGAACGCAATTACATTCAGAAGAGGAAAGCCAAGATCTTTTAGAAGTAAGCTAGGTGGTTACAGTCTGGTCCAGATACAAATACATTATTTTTACTTCTATTTGATAGGACCAACATTTGTAGAATGTTGTTTTGATGTGTTTCAGGTCCGAGTACCTGTAACGAGAACTGATGTATTACATGAATGTGACGTGGCAGAAGATGTTGCTATTGCATATGGCTTTAACCGGATTGAACAAAAGTTTCCAGAAGCTTATACTACTGGGGAGGCATTTCCGTTGAATAAGTTAACAGATTTGCTCCGATATGACATTGCTGCTGCCGGTTGGACTGAAACATTGAACTTTGCTTTGGTTAGTTGAAACTGAATGTCGAAATGTTGCAATAATTTATGCGAGTTTTTTCACGGCTGAAACTTTCACATGATATAGATGATTATACTGCATGACTTCAGTGTAGCCGTGATGACATATCTGTGAAGCTAAGAAAACCGGATAATCTCAAGCATGCCGTCAAAATATCGAATCCAAAGACATCCGAATTTCAGGTCAAATATATCCATATTTGGAGTAAATTTCGACAAAAAAATTTTACAAAAAAAGAAAACGACAAAAAAATGGTTACCTGAAGTCACTATTTGGTTGATAATAATTTGTAAGCTGAATTTCTAGATTTATGACTTTTTCATTAGCTGATGTTCTAAACTCATGTAAAATATGTAATGAATACCGGATTTTAGGTGGCCAGGACATCGTTACTTCCTGGTTTATTAAAAACACTTGCTTCTAATAAGGATGTGGCATTGCCTCTTCGATTGTTTGAGATTCAAGATGTGGTTTTGAAAGATTTAACTGCAGGTAATACTATATTTTATTTTTTCTTAAATATAAATTCAAATTCAAACTTTTTAATATAAATTGAAAAATCTTAGTTTTTCTTATTTCCTTAAGCAGTGCGTAAACAGTTTTCGTTCTCGACGTTAAGAATTTGTTTTTTGAATTCATAATCATTTTCTTTCCAGATGTAGGCGCAAGAAATGAGCGTCGCTTGTGTGCTCTGTATTGCAGTAAATCATCAGGCTTTGAGATAATACACGGTTTACTGGATCGAGTTATGCAGCTTCTTGGAGTAAAATGGACCAGAGATGGAACAGGATATTATATTGCTGCGTTTGACGGTATAAATTGATATTAGGGGTCTGAACGATGCAAATTAGCAATTAGAACTTTTTTATTTAATCCCGAAATTTGTTTCCGCAATTTCTGCCAAGTAATTTGTTGGAAATTATTACGAGATTTTACAGAAAGGGCAACGAATGAGACACCACTTATCGATGAGTGTAACTCAAGATATCAGGAAGAACATTGTTTAAGAATATCTTTTTCAGATCCCACTTATCTGGATGGACGATGTGCGGAGATCATTGGACCAGCTGGGATTTCCCTAGGTAGAGTTGGTGTCCTCCATCCAAATGTGATAACTGCTTTTGGACTTACACTGCCCGTTTCTGTTATTGATATCAGTATTGAACCATTTTTGTGATAAAATTTAGTTGAATCCGATCATTTCGGTTATTTATCGTTGTTTGCCGTTTCTGATTTGATTATAAAATGGTTGTTATTGTTGTCTGATAAAAATCATATCTCATTTAGCGGCCGCATCAGTCATCTTTATGGTGTGAAACCGCTTTTTTTATCGGAACATAGCATAGAGTTATGGGCGAAGTACGTTTTAGTCCTTGAAGATTTGACATAAATGATGGCTGTATTTTTAGTGAATAATGTGGGGATAGTGTGCATGACATTTTTTTGTGATTTCGATTGGGGAACGCGTTGAATTGTGTTTTATTTTCGAAGTATACTTGCTAAATTGAAGAATTTATTTTGGGGAAATGAGCAAAAATTGAATGGAAGGATTTTTTGCTTCTTGAAACTCCATTGCTGTTAGGAATGATCGGGTTGAGTGTGGATTAGAGCAGATTTTTCTGGTGAAGTTCAATTCAACGTAGGTGTTTGTTGGATAAAGTTAAGTATGATGCATGCTGTTTTTTCAGGTTAATTGCTAAAACTAAATGTCCAGGAGATTTCGTGAGTAATGTACTCGGATTATTTGTTAATCATATTTATTGCAACATGTACTGCGGTAATCGGTGAAGCATTAACTTATATACTCGTATATCGTAGTGAGCAGTACAAACGTTTGAAAAATGAAATGGAACGGAAAACGAAAAAACTGGAACGAAAGGTTTGCTTCATGGGAACTATTCTTTTAACCGAAGACAAAAATACCCGTGACCTTTATTGTGATGAGCTAACATTTTAGTTTTTTTTTATATTGCATATAGAAGTAAAGTACGAATATTAGATCCTTCTGAAAGATAACACTGGTGATCCCTCCATCTATTTGCTGCTTTGGATGATTGTTTTGTTGCCCCAGGACATACATCGGTGTACAGAATGGCACACTTTTTTTTCTGTATATTAATGAAAATTTTTAGTTTATTAGCGAATTTTTTCTGTATATTAATAAAAATTTTTAGTTTATCAGCGTACGAAGCGATTAGAAAGATTGATAAATGCTCAAAACTTCAGAGAGTTTAAGCAGTGAGATAATTAAACTGTTTTCTTAGACAGTTATCTTAAGTTACAAAAAACCTAGCATCTTGAGATACATAAGCGGTAGTTTTCCAGTCGGATCTAAACGTTGGATACTTTTGCAGTATTATTACATCCTAATTAATAATTCAAGGGATTCTATAGACATGCATCCAGCTATCGATTACTCAATCGTTATGAACGATGTTTTCCAGAAAGAGACAACCGCTGAAGCGGACCGTACGGCAAAGCGAAAAATTGATAGGGAAGAGGAAAGGTTAAAAGCGACTAATCGAGATATGAGTATGTTCAAAATGAAAAGTATGCTCGCAATCGGTTTTGCTTTTACAGCGTTGCTATCTACGTTTTCCTCAATATTCGAAGGACGAGTGGTAGCGAAATTGCCCTTCACTCCTGTATCATGGATTCAAGGGTTTTCACACAGGTATGATTTTTATTCCATACTGCATACGATGGATTTTATTGCATTATCATCAGTAATAGTAAGTATTAGTAGATATGTTCTTGAATCTGAGTGGCAAAAAAAGGACACAGCAGTGATCCTTGAATAGAAGGCCACATATATGTGAAGCAGAAGTGTTTGATTGTGAAAAGAATAAACTATCTCGATATAAGAAAAGGAAATAAGTATTTCTGAAAAAATATGGTAGTCTTGTTTTGATATCGTTTTGCAGATTATTGCCTATATATATATATATATATATATATATATATATATATAT